TCTTCCAAGCAGCTTGGGATGAAACACTAAGGGCTGCACAAAGAAGAAGGATTTTCCCCCACAATTCCTCTCCCAGCAGGGACTTGTGCTGGACTGAGTCTTTTCTATTTGCAAAAAGCAATGAAGGATTCAGATCACAAGACACTATAACCTTTCCCTTCATTTGTACTACAGAAAATGCATGTAGTGCAATCTTCTACAGCAAGCATAAAAGAACTGTCCTGTGCATCCACGATGGTCTAATTCACTCCTTCTTGTTAAGATATATACAGATGCCAATTGTGGTTCAGGTCAGGAATTACTGGTGGCTAAGATCAGAGTCAAATTATGCAACATCAAAAAAACACAAAGTAGTTTGACAGTACTAAATCTCTCCCACTTATACAATTAAGGTGAAAAATAAGTTTGAATTGCTGGACACTGTTGACTGCCCATCAGATTCAATTCAATTGTTCAACTAATAGTTGAACACATACCATACATGAAGCCAGAGTAAAAGTGCAAGTAACTCACAGATGTATTCATCAGAATAACTGAGGGAAGAAAAGCAGCCAAAGCAGCAAATGGTAGGAAGCAAGGAAATTGAACATAGAGTTCCAGAGACCAGCAAGGGAAAAACAACAAAATTTACTAGGACTAGTAGTATTGAAAGCATCTAGAAAAAGACTGCATAAAGGCCACAATAGGTATGTATTTGTGCAAATTAAAAGGATTCAAAAACATTTACTGCTCATAGAAGCATTGTCAAAAACAAGCAAGGGAAAGAACTGTCTGACCAACAATGTATCAAGAACATTTTATAGCTGAAAAGGTAACTATTGTTTCAATTATGGCACAATTGTCCTCATACACAAATTTCTTTAAATTAGCTTAAATGTGTACAACACTGTCTGATGCCAACAATCAAAGGGAAGTATCAAATGTTTAAGCTATCTTGTCTACTATTGACCTCACCCCTTTCCTAAGAGGTCTGTAGGGGGCGTGCATAAGCGCACCAACGTGCCTACCGTCCCTGTCCTATTGTTTCTCTTATTCCTCTTTTATTTTTCTTATATGTACCCATTTCATGTATTCACAACTATGTATACACTTATACTTATTATCTTGTAAACAATTGGCAAATCAAATAAAATAAATAAATAAATAAATAAATAAATATCTTCAGAAGGAGTCATGTCACTTGTGACCATATTTCAAACCTAGGCTAGATCGTGGAAATTTCTCAAGAATATCAAAAAAGCATCTACATCTGCTTTATTGAATACAAGAAAACTTTTGTCCATCATAACAAGCTGTGAAGAGCCCTAAAAAATCCAGGGCTGCCAACACATCTGGTCAATTTAGTGCATGTCATACTAAATTATTAAACATTAGGAAACTATTGTGTGAATATCATATTGAAACTTTGATTAGAAGAGTTATACTTCAGTTTTCCTAAGGATAGGGCATTAGAAGCATTGTTATAATAGTGAATGTCAAACTAAAGACATTTTTTTTCCATTTGCTCTCTTAGCCATTGAAACAAAAATGTTTGCGTGTGAAAACAGCACAATGTTTCTTAGTTTGCTGTAGTTCTTAGTTTAGGGAGAAAACCTTAGTATGTTCTATGTTGGAACTGAGTGAAACTATAGGACAACTGAAATCATTCCCTGCATTTCATTAATTTTGTGCTGTTCAATACTGTAGTTTAAAAGTATTTCTATTCTTCTGAATACTGAAACTAATGATGTAATTTTTTTTTCAATTATTGAGCATGGAAGACTATTGAGCACTAGAGTAGAATGAAGATTTGTGAAGATATTTGCATAGCATAATCAGTTTGGAATAAACCACGTATCTTCTTGTTACTGTGAGAAATTAGTTTATTTGATAAACGGTATTAAGTTTCTTTTCAGTAATATTTTAAAGTAAACACTTTTATTTTAACAAATCTTAAGCACTCATTTTCTATGCTGAAAGAAGCATAGCAAGCACAAAATGAAAAATTGATTTTAAGTCTATTTCTATCTTTAGAGTTATATTTTCTTAAATAACTTTATTTTCAAATTATGTCTGCTGGACAGATAATTTCACAGCTAAACTCTTTATGCCAACCAGTGGTCCAGGGACACTGGTGGTCCATGAGAAAATTTTGGTGATCCTCAGAGAAATGTCCCCCCTAAAGCACTCCCCCCAAAGCAATTAATCCAGGCTGTGTAGCAACACAAGGCTGTGCCAGCCACATGGCCTGTCTACACGATGGCCCCACCCTTCAGCCAAGCACTCTTACCTTGAGTAGAGCCACACGAGCTGGAACTTGAAGGTAAGACCAACAGCAGAGGAGAGAAATTTGCCCCAGGGTGGCTTGCTGACATTGGTGGGAAAGTTGGTCCCATATTCCAGAGCTGCAGTAGTCACAGGACTGGCCCTTTCATCATCCTGGAGCAGCTTCTCCAGTTCATGGCAGGACAGTGCACCCAGGTGGAGGAGCAGCTGCTCCGGGATGACCAAAGGGCCAGTTCTGTGATTCCTGCAGCTCTGGAATATGGGACTGACTTTCCCACCAACGTCAGCAAGCCACCATCAGTCAAAATTCATATTAATGGTCTGAGGGATTTAAAATTATGAGTTTGGTGGTCCCTGAGGTCCAAAAGGTTGGAGATCCCTGCTTTATAGTATATTATGCCATGGTAAATTGCACTGGAAGGGATGTTGTAGTTTCTTATTAAACTAGGCATTTTGCAAGGAAGTATATATGTTCTGGGCTGAATGACAGCTTTGGTTCTGCAGCTATTGTTGTACATTTAGTCATTGGTTTTTAGGAGTGAATCATATGGAAGAAAACTGGCATTGTGTTCCTTTCAGCAAGTTTGTGTTGCTTTTAATTTTGCTAAAATGAAATAGCAAAAGGATCTAGCTCACTGAACAAAAGGTTATATTACCATTTTTAATCAGCCTGGTTATCTACACATAAGATTGGAAAGAGAGTCTGCCAATATTGTTAATTGTCTTACAATTATATGGGATATATAGGATATAAGGAGCAATGGTCTGGTTCTGTAAAAGTCAGCTCCTTTTGTTCTTATGATCTTACCTGGTAAAACAATACCTGCACTAGAAGATCTGAAACATAGAAATCCTGAAACATAGCATGGTCTTACTTTGGCATATTAGAATTGATCCTTTTGGCTGCTATGGAAGGAAAATCCTGAATGGTCCTATGTTTACAATGTTTATTACAAATGAAGGCAAACACATTCTAGTGACAAAGTTCCCTAAGGATGGGCTCCAACACGGGTCTTAAACCTCAGGTAACTAAATGTCTGGTCCCAGTGACTAACCCAGATTGGATCCTCCAATGTTTATTCTTCTGTAACTATGGACAGTTCAAGTCTCTGGGTTCTTTAGTCCTTATTCTATACAGCTATTTGAAACAGTTTGTTCTCCCCACTCTTTATGAAGCCAATAGTTGAACAGATCAATCATATATTTGTCAGATAGTAGTCTTTTCATTACATATAAGATTGTCATGTTTTATGCTGCAGTGTATGAAATTGGAAATTACCATTGTTAAGTGTGCCACGCAGATAAAGATCATATTCTTGTTACGAACTAAGCAAACTCATTCATCAATAACCATACTAGCTTTACTTCAACAGCAGGCTCGTAACCCTGCACTTCTGATTGGCCCGCAGATAAGCGAATCGTGATTGGCCACCTCTGGCTGACCTGATTGGCTGACAGCGGGCCGTCTCTGATTGGATGCTTTTAGAGCGGTTAATTCAATTTCATTGGTTGTTGTGACAGCAGCCAGCTCTATAAAAGAGCTGCTGCTGCCGAAGTTGTTGTTCTGTTCTGAAGTCACTATTAAAGAGTTGAGTCACTATCCGATGCCTCGTCTCCGTTATTGCGCCCACTCCTCCAGATCTAACACTGGCGACGAGGATGGGATGCGGAGACGATAGAGCTGACTGAGCACTCACCAAGCACTGAACAGAGCACGTGGCTAAGAGCGCGCCAACAACGGCAAGATGACCAGCGGCGCCATACCACCAGCTCCATTTGACCCGGCTAACGAAGACTGGGACTTGTATATAGACAGGTTCCAGATGTTCCTGGAGACCAACAATCTGAAAGACGCTGCGCCTGGCAAGAAACGAGTGGTCTTCCTGACCCATTGCGGGCCTGTTGTTTTTAAAATGGCTAAGGCACTTGCTAAACCAGCGGAAGTTAAAACAATGGATTGGGATACCCTCGCACCAATCCTCCGGGCCCATTATGCACCCGCGGTGCCAACACTTATCCAAAGACACAAATTTTACCAGAGGGACCAATGGAAGAACGAGAGCGTTGGAGACTTCATCGCAGACCTCCGGAACCTGGGAGGCCTCTGTGGTTTTGCAAACCTCGAGGAGGCCATGAGAGACCGAATAGTTCTGGGATTAGATGACCACGCGGTGCAGAGCAAGATCATGGCTAAAGAGGACATCGACCTCGCAGATGTCATCGCCGATGCTACTGCAGCAGAAGCAACCAGGAAGTCAGCCGCTCGAATGCACCACACCAACGTACTGCTCCGCCAACTCGCCAGTGATACTATGCCTTTTTCCGAGAGGCACTCAACAACGGCTCACCATGAAGACCTCGAATCCTCGTCTGATAGTGAGGAAGAGGAGGTCAACCGACTCAGGTCAGAGCGCGACCAGCAAGACCAGAGGAGCCAGAAACCTGCGCGTCAATGCGCCGGTTGCGGGGCCAATCACCTGCGATCTGACTGCAAATTCCTTGACGCACTCTGCCGTTCCTGTGGAAAGAGGGGCCACATCGCAAAGGTCTGCAGAAGCAAGCGAGGGTCAAGTCCAATCCGAAGAACAACGGGCAGCCCACCTGTAAATCGGGACCGTCTGAATCACCAATGGAACCACTATCACTACAGAAATCGAGCGCCTGCTGCGTCAGCTAGGCGGGAAGAGATGCATCAAACCATTACCATTGGTCACGCATCATCCTTGGATGCAAGAAAGATCCGAGTAAAGGTCGCCATTGAGAATCGTCCATGCGTAATGGAAGTAGACTCGGGATCGTCCCTATCAATGGTCTCATGGAAAACCTTCAAACAGCTGATCCCTGACATCCATCGCCAGGACCTCAGCACCCAAAAAATCATATTAAGGGACTACCAGGGAAACAGGATTCCCGTTGCCGGTTCCCGCCACGTCCAGGTGTCCTTCAAGGACCACACCGCAACTCTGCCTATTACCATCGTCAATCGAGACCGGCCCAGCTTGTTGGGGCTACAGTGGTTCGCTCCACTGGGGATTGAACTAGCTGGCATTCACCAGACCGGAAGCAGCGACTGGGAAGCGGCCCTTGTCCAGGAGTTCCAGGATGTGTTCACCGAGGAGCTAGGCAAGTACAAGGGATCCCCCATATCGTTTAGCCTCAGCCCCGAGATTGCGCCCATCCGCCTTAAGCCTCGTCGAGTGCCTTTCACACTCAAGCCAAAAATTGATGAACAATTGGACAAATTAATAGCCCAGGGGGTGTTGGAACCGATCGATCACGCCCGTTGGGAAACCCCGATTGTAACACCCATAAAGCCTGATGGATCGATAAGAATTTGTGGGGATTACCGGGCCACCCTAAATCATGCGCTCCAGCAGAGCGCTGATCCCGTACCTGTGGTCCAACACCATCTTCATTCCTTGGGGGGTGGAAAAATATTTGCAAAATTGGACCTCGCCCAGGCATACCAGCAACTACCCGTAGATGCAGAGACTGCTGAGGCCCAGACTATAGTCACGCACAGAGGTGCATTTAAATGTAATAGACTCCAGTTCGGAGTGAGTGTAGCACCAGGCATCTTCCAAAGCCTGATGGAGAGACTGCTACAAGGCATAAAAGGAGTCGTGCCGTATTTCGATGACATCTTGATAGCTGCCCCCACTAGAGACGTATTAGAGAAACGACTCAGAACGGTTCTCCAGAAATTCAAAAACGCCGGTTTAAAAGTGAAAAAAGAAAAGTGTCAACTTTGTACTGAGAGGGTTGAATTCCTTGGGTACCTTCTTGACAAAAAGGGAATCCATCCTACTGAAAAAAAAGTAACTGCAATAAAAAACGCCCCAAGACCCAGGAATAAAACAGACCTCCAAGCCTTCCTGGGACTCATTAACTTTTATAACATCTTCTTGCCCCAGAAGGCGACTGTAGCTGAGCCCCTACATAGACTACTCGACAAGAAGACTTCCTGGGTCTGGGGACATCGGGAAGAACGAGCATTCCAGCAAGTAAAAGATCTCTTAACCTCAGATGCTGTATTAATGCAGTATAACGAGACTTTGCCTTTAACTGTCACCTGCGACGCTTCACCGTTTGGGGTGGGAGCCATCTTAAGCCATGTCCTACCAAACGGAAATGAGGCACCTATTGCTTTCTTTTCACGAACTTTATCAAAGACTGAAAGAAATTATAGCCAACTCGATAAAGAGGCTCTCGCTATTGTATCCGCTATTAAACGTTTCCATGAATATGTATATGGCAGACCGTTTACCATAATAACCGATCACAAGCCATTGCTTGGCATTTTAGCGGGAGACAAACCAACTCCCCACATCTTATCACCCAGAATGACCCGTTGGTCAGAGTTTCTAGCCGCATACGATTATCAACTGCAACACCACCCGGGGAAAGCCATTCCCCACGCTGACGCCTTGAGTCGTTCTCCGCTACCGGAAGCCATAGACGATCCAGCTCCAACTTTAACTGCACTCCAAATCGAAACTCTCCCTGCACCACCCCTGACTGCACGAGACATTGCCGCGGAAACAAAAAAGGATCCTGTATTCGCTCGAGTCCTCAGCTGGGTGAAACGAGGTTGGCCTGACAACGAACCCAACGACACCTTCGCGCCTTTCAAACACCGACAGACAGAACTGTTCTCCCAGAAGGGCTGCATCTTGTGGGGAGACAGAGTCGTCATCCCAGAAAAATTACAACATACAGTTCTAAAACTGTTGCACGATGGTCATCCAGGCATCGTGCGAATGAAGGCATTGGCAAGAAGTTACATGTGGTGGCCAGGTATCGATAAACAGATAGAAGCCTGGGTGGCAACATGCAACAAGTGCCAGGAAATCCGCGCTGCCCCACCAAAGGCACCTCCAACTGAATGGGACGCACCTTGTGGTCCCTGGTCCCGCATCCACATTGACTTTGTGGGACCCACCAAGGGACACACTTTTCTCATAACAGTGGATGCCTATTCCAACTGGCTCGAGGTCCACAAAATGAAGAGCACCACCACAGAAGCCGTCGTTAAAAAATTAAATAGACTATTCGCTACGCACGGATTGCCTGACGTTTTGGTTTCGGATAATGGTCCCCAATTCACTGCCCTAGCATTTGAACAGTACCTAGCCGACCGGGGCATCCGCCATGCCTTAACTTCGCCGGCTCACCCTGCGGCCAATGGCAGGGCTGAGCGAATGGTCCAATTCATAAAAAAGACCTTGCACAAGATGGAACATGGAGACATTGACGACAAAGTAACCAGAATGTTTCTCCTCCAACACATCACCCCGCACAGCATCACAAACAGAACCCCGGCCGAACTTCTGATGGGCCGGAAACTTCGCTCACACCTCAATCGCCTACACCCAACCTACACGCCAGAAAAACCTTGCGGTTCCAGCAGCAAGTGTCGTGCGTTCAAGGTAGGCGACTTAGTCTTTGCGAAAAACTTCTCGGGTGATCCATTGTGGGTCCCCGCTACTATAACTCAACTTACGGGCCCTAGATCTTACCATCTACAAGCTAGCGAAGGGAAATTATGGAAGCGCCATATAGACCAACTTCATTCCCGATTGGCACCTAACCCTATCTCAACCCCTGAATCTCAAACTGGGGGGGGAAAGGGAAATCGAGGGGGCCAAAATAGAAATAGCAGATGACCCAATAATTGAAGCCCAGCAGTCTGCACAACCAACCATGGGATACTCACCTTCCGGAGGAGGACCGAGCCAGGTGATTGCTTCGCCGCAAAGCAGCCCGGCCATAGAAGCAAGTCCAGGGAACCCGTATGACAGCAGAGAGGATAGCCCTGAGTCCCCGAGCGGAGTAGTGGAACCGTTTTCGCCACCCGGTTCTACAAACAGCCCACCGGAGCCAGCGCCAGAGCAGAAACCGGTGGAACAGCGAAAATCGAATAGACAGGTGAAACGGCCTGCCTACTTGCGAGAATACGTCACCCCACCCCTCAGACGGAACCTAGGGGGGAGGGGTGGTACGAACTAAGCAAACTCATTCATCAATAACCATACTAGCTTTACTTCAACAGCAGGCTCATAACCCTGCACTTCTGATTGGCCGGCAGATAAGCGAATCGTGATTGGCCACCTCTGGCTGACCTGATTGGCTGACAGCGGACCATCTCTGATTGGACGCTTTTAGAGCGGTTAATTCAATTTCATTGGTTGTTGTGACAGCAGCCAGCTCTATAAAAGAGCTGCTGCTGCCCAAGTTGTTGTTCTGTTCTGAAGTCACTATTAAAGAGTTGAGTCACTATCCGATGCCTCGTCTCCATTATTGCGCCCACTCCTCCAGATCTAACAATTCTGATATTATATTTATTTCTATACACTTATTTCTTTTTTCATTTCTACTTTTATTACTTTCGATACATTATTATCAAGGGTGGGTTTCTACTGGTTCTGTCCACCTCTGTAGAACCGGTAGCTCTGAAGAGCAGCAGACATAGAACCAGTTCTATGTCTGCTGATGTTTTTTCCCACCCACCCACCTTGGGCTCTTACCTGATCTTTATTTCCTGATTTTTCAACTTCAGCTACCGAACGAGGCACAGCTGCAGTTAGAAAAGCAAGAAAAGAGGACTGTTTCAAAGGCTACTTCTCTGTAGGCAGCTGCTGATGACAATTTACAGGCACACAGCTCACAGCCTTCAGGAAAGCTCGTAAATCCTGAACTGGTAGTTAACCTTGTCGTATTCCACCCCTGATTATTATGTATAAATTTTGTAGTAGACTATATTATAGTATTTATACATCAGTATTTCTCATCCTTAGCAACTTGAAGAAGTACAGACGTCAACTTCCAGAATTCCCAAGCCCACATAATTTAAAGATTAACTATAATTTTACTATTTATAGTGATTGTATAGTATGGGGATAGTAATTCTATTTTCAAAATTATTTTCCATAATTTATAGACTGAATAGTTCATACTAAAATGTTTGTAAACTTTTTGTTGTAATATAAGGCCTCCTAGTAAACAACTCCTGCTGTATTTATTGACACAATCAAGTAAATTGAATTCAACCAAATTAGTTGTGTCAGATTAGCTTCACAACAAATCCAATGATGTATCAAAGGGCTAAATTAGGTAAATTGCCAAATAAATAATATTTGTTTCTATATGTAGATGATGAATGATGGCAGGCCTAAACAGGAATGTTGATAGTATACAAAACAGATTCCTGATGTCTTGATGGAAATGAACCCCTCTCCATATATTTAAAAAGTCTGGGTACATTCATCTCTCTCTCTCTCTCTCTCTCTCTCTCTCTCTCTCTCTCTCTCTCTCTCTCTCTCTGTGTGTGTGTGTGTGTGTGTGTGTGTGTGTAACAGAGAGAGGGGATATATGAATATGTGATTTTCATCAGGTAGTATGGGCAAAATAGCTAAATTGGTTCATTGACATATCTTCTATGTAGAATTTGCATTAATCATTTGATTGCTTATTTTAGTGAATGGAAGACTATCAAGTGCAGAGGGGGGAAAATCCCACTGAAATATAATGTAAAGCATTAGGAAAGTATCTCCACAAAAGTACTCAAAATCACTTTAGTAGTTTTAATTCTTTTTAAAGTTTCCTAAACATTCCATTGGAAATGTCCTGGATTTTCATGTGTAAATTTGCAAACAAACTATTCAAGGATTTTGCTTGGAATATCAATATTGTCTGCCTTCTAAAACAGATACAATGTGGTTTTTAAAATACTTTTTACTCCAGTACTTATGCCAATAATATATTTACTTTGTTAAAATAGTCTTGAATTTGTGAGTCTCTCTTACATTTGCTTAGTTAGACAGCTTCATCATCACCACAATTTACCAAACCCAATGAAGACATTTAGAAAATAATAGTGCATTATCATTCCTACTCATTACAGCTAATGGAAACTTGTTGTTTATGCTAAAATGATGCTGGATGAGAGCTTCACTAGACAAAATATGCACTTCATGAGGAAAAGCAGCTTAGAGAGGCTGGGGTTAGTAAAGAAACAGTTGTTCTTTCTGCCCCACCCTCCCAATAGCTGCCCCAAGTTTTAGCACTTAAATATATCTCAAGCTGTTGCCTCTTTCACTCAGCTGAAAAAGAGGACAACGTAGCAGAATAATCACAAAACATAGCGGATTATGACCCAAATTGTTTAACAAGGGTCAGGGAGATAAAGTAATGCACTCTTAGCTTTAGTCAATGGTGGGATTAAAATTTGCTTACTACCAGTTCTGTGGGTGTGGCTTGGTGGGTGTGGCAGGGGAAGGATACTGTAAAATCTCCAGTCAGAGGGAGTATTTGCTGGTACTCCGAATTACTCAAAATTTCTGCTACTGGTTTTCCAGAATTGGTCAGAACCTGCTGAATACTACCTCTGGCTTTAGTTTACTGCAAGAGTCCTGAGAGTGAAGGAAGGGGAGTGAAAAATTCTTTGAAAAAAGGCAGGGGTTGGAATAGAGAGACAAAATGAACAAACAATGGAAGAAGAAGAGATAGTGTGAAGTAAAAATGAGAATGACAAAAAAAGGCAAATAATTGATATAAAAATTTCACTTCAGACTTTTGTGAAAGTCTACTTGGGGGAGGGAAAGGCACCCCAAGTCAAGCATTTTCCACAGATTTTTCTTCTTCTTAAACCCACCTAGAAATCCTAGAAGTTTCTTGAAAATATTCAGAGAAGGGGCCATTTGTTGGCTGAAAGAATTATACAAGTCTGACATTTATAAGGACAAATGGGAGGAGGAAAATTATCTGGGGATGCTATGTGTGGTCTGTTATAGTATGTAGCTCTTTATGTGAATATGTGGCCTGGGCTTAGTGATATTGTACAGTTTCAACAAAACAACCTATATAATCAGTGTTTTCCATCAATATAATTTAACAAATCAAGCTGAGATTTCAACCCAGTCTGGTACAAACTGTAAAACCTGATTGGAAGAAGGTGAACTGGAAGCTTTACTTATTGCAGTTTCAGTGGAAAGGATGTAAGCAGAGATGAACCTCACAAGAAGTGCAGCAGCTGGAAAAACACTGCTGAGAATTATATAGACCTGGGACTGTGTAAAAGAAATGCAGGTCACAAAGATTGAATGGTGGCTTGGGAGAATTACAGTCAGGCAAAGTGAGCCAAGCGAGACTCAGCTTTAGCCCAAATGATGTTCATAAAGAACTTAGAAATCATCATTTGTTCTGCTCTAACAAAAAATATTTTGTAATTCTGTAAAAACTGTGGAGCAAGGACTCTCTGAAAATGAGAAATTGAGTGTCAGGGAAGAAATTTTATTGAATTCTTGTAGCTGACTGATAGAAAAACTCAGTCTAAAATGGTTTATTTTGCAATGAAATGTACAAGTATAATTTTGTTAAAGTAGAATTGTTAAGTATTATGAGAAGAATGGTTGTAGAGTTAATTTCTCAAGAAGTCAAAGTTATTGATGATGGTGATGATTTGATTGTGAAACAAGAGACAAATATAAACAGAAACAAGTATTATTAAATGAATTGTTTGTTTTAATCCACATTATTCAGTGGGTGCTATTTTACTAAGTTATCTAAAAAGGCTTTGGCTTCTGGCGTAGATAAAAACTGCATGGAACAAATGTATAAAGATGCCTAATGATGCCATGGTATTTGCATTAAATGGCACATATGTAGTTTTTGAAAGAAGTATTAGAAGCTACCTATGTTGTTATAACCACAGGGTGAATTTAATAATTGCTGAGCTCTGTAAAATCATAGATATTTTAAATTTGTTTTTTTCCCCAACAACCACATCTATTTGAATTGTGTTCCTCTGTGAATCCAAGTTTCCATAAATTACTCAGAGAAACTAGGAACATAATTATTGAATTGAAGAAATTGTAAGAGGCTTTTTGTGTATGTCAAATTGCATCATATATAGTTGCTATGTCAACACTGCCAGCAATTGTCTTGCTTCTGAATATCATTAATAATGAATCAAATTTTGCCTTAAATAGATGACTACTATGGCTGCTGTGTAGACTACCACTGGGATTTATTTCAGAAAACATAACTTTAGAAAGAGTATTTGACTGCTGTGGAATTTCCAGTGCCTTCTTTGTAATCCCTATACAAAGATTTCTGGAGGGATGAGCAGATTAAAAGGCTGGCAGAATGAGAGAGAGAGAGAAAAAAGGAACCTTTGCTAACTTTTGATTCTAACTATTCCTTGCTTGACTTTGCCCCTCTCTTTACCATCATACAGCATGTAATAGATTGTCCCAAAGTTTACATGGTCCTCAACAGGGGAAAACAGGTTTCCTATGTTTATTTTAATACTGGGATAAAATAAGAACAATTTTCCTTAAGGGAGAAAAGGAAGTCGGCCTTGTCAATATATGAATGACCTTCCATCTCTGATTGTTTATAGTTTCTATTCACACACACACACACACACACACACACACACACACACACACACACAC